ATTCTCCAGCACATGGACCATCTACTCACGCAGCCACAGGATCATTGGCTGCCTACTTCCAATATCCACTAGACTCTTCACAGTGAGGGAGATACAGGCTCACAACACCATAGGACAGTTATTATATTATTATTATACAGGATTTATATAGCGCCAACAGTTTGGGCAGCACTTTACAAAATGAAGGTAGACATTACAGTTACAATACAATTTGGTACAAGAGGAAACAGAGGGCCCTGCTTGTTAGATCTGACAGTTGGACACTCTTGCCCCCAATTTTCTCCTGGCTCTCTCCAGTGAGCTCTCTCCTGGCCAAATCGATACCAGGACTAAGCTTGCAATAGGCCCCCCAGCTAAGCCTAGCTAGGATATCGATGTATTCACAAAGGATTTTCTAGCAATCCTGCCTCAGGAGCAGAGCCCCTGCTAATGGGTCTCCTGCAGCAGGACTTGGCTCAGGAATACTAAACCCCTGCCTCAGGCCTCAGACGATTTATGGGCTAACCCGCCACCTACTGGACATGCCTCGCCATGAATTGGCTGGAGTTCTATAAATATTTAGGTTGCCCACTCTGTTCTTCCTCCCACTATAGTTCCAGAATACTCTAAAATACAGGGGAAAGTAATCAGAGCAGCAGCCTGTGAGACACTGAGCAGGTCTAAACATTCAACCTCTGTTCCACTGCTCCACTGATTACATTCAACCTCTGCTCCACTCATTACAGCCTATGGTACTCTGGGAGGGTCCTACATGTTTAAAATAACATTATTCAGATGCTTTTCAGCCTCAAACCTCTCTCCAGCTCTGAAGTACTGTATTAAACTTAATTTAATAAATAAGTATTGCAATGGTTATAGACAATTACAAATTGCCTCACAGACTTTACTTTATATTAGAGTACTGCTATATATAAAACTAATGTTTAAAGGATGATTTGCAAGAATTTAGAACAGCCTTTCTCAACCAGGATGCCCAGGCACCTTGGGGTGCCTTAAGGTTTCCTCAGGGGTGCCTTGGCAAAATGTCTACAATCTGCCCAAAAATTGTATACATGCCAGCGGGTTGAACAAGCCCACCTTTTAGTTACACAAAGCCACAGGTTTTCATTGTTCACCATTACGACCTTCAAGCTGCCAGAGTCCTGATAACCAATGACATCATCAGTTGATAAGAAGGATGTCAGCTGCCTGCACAGCATCCTAGTTTGACCCTCCGCTGCCCCTCTCCATCAGTGCTGGGGTCACATTAGCTCAGTGATGGAGAAAATTGAGGGAGAAGAGAAGCATTAGAATGCTACTCAGTGTGTAAAAGTGTATTTGCTTTGGAAGAATAAATCACCTCTAATGTTGGGTGTCCCACACGTGTGGATGTTGCTGTGTTATATAAAACTATTAAAATAGTTTTTCAAATTTTAGAATGGGGTGACCTTTTAAAATTATGGACAGTCTAGAGCCACCCCATTTTAGAATGGGGTGCCTCAAGACTGTCCATAATTTTAAAGGGTGCCTCGGGAATGTCTTTAATTTTAAAGGGTGCCTTGACTAAAAAAAGGTTGAGAAACACTGATTTAGAACACAGCAGTGTAAACACTGAAGATCTTAAGAAGGCTATACTATTATATTTGTCTTAGGCTCTATTAACTATACAAAATGGTTACTTTTTAATAAAACCTTTGAAAATAAAGCATCATGTAGCTTAAGAAACTGATGTTCTAAAGAGAATTTCAATGAGGCGTATATCAAAGGGCTGCTGTCTTGAAAGGCAACAAAATGGAAACAATCACAAGGGGCCCTCAGGTGGTGGAAATGCAGATATACAACCAGAAACAAACCATTCCGTTCAGCATATTCAGGAGAATATTTCCCCACAAAACCACACTTATGAGAATGAAAATAAGTTCTGGTTAATGTAAATGCAGCCTTTGGTGTCTGACGGTTCTCTTCAGCTGATGTTGGTTTTTGAATAACATTAACGTCTAATAGAAAAGATACTTTCAATCATTTTCAAAGCAAGATACCCCCAAGCTTATCCTGTTCTCAAGTATAGAGTTTGCATTCAAGCATTTATCTGAAAGAAAAAAGCTTTGTAAATACTTAATATCCTTTCACAACATCCTTTCATTTCAATTTACTTCAGAAAATGTCTCTTCTACCAGTTTAACTCTTTGAGTGCTGCTACTTATTCTTACCAGCAAATCAGTTATACTGCTATTTTGTAGTCATTTTTCTGTTATACCACTGTGTGTTGCTACTGCAAGACATTGTAGCATAGGTAAATTAATCAATTCATTTCTTATGGCCACCCACAGAACATAACAGCTATTTCTACTATTAAACTATTCTACTCTTAAACCCTCAAAGTGTTTTTAGTTTAACACGTTCATACTCCAGCACTTAGTTACTACCTTTTAATTTAAATTCTTTATTTTACATTTTCAATTTACACGCAAGTTACAGACATTGTAAATGTAGCAGTGTCACAGGTATAAGATATAGAAGTTGGCAATAACAGCGTAACAACTTGAGATATCAGATCATTAAAACTGAATCCTCTGAATCAAGGTGATTGGGGGAGTAAAAACAAATCTACAGCAGAGTATAACTAACTCCAACTAATACTAAGAAAGGAAAGAAAAAGGACAAAAAAAGAGTACTATTGATCAAGGGGAAGGAAAAGAAAAAAATAAGGGAAGAGAAAGGGGCTGTGGTAGGTCAATGTTGGGGTAGGGCCATGTCTAGTCTGTCTGACCCAAAATAGCTTCATAGCCTTGGGAACAGGTAAACGCTGTCCAATAGAACCAAGTACATTGAAATTTCTCTTCTCTAACTATCGAGGAGACCGTGAGACTTTCCAAATGTTGCAAATTGTTGATTTTCGCAACCCACATACGTAAGGTAGGCAGAGATCCCTGTATCCAGCAGGCTGGAATGCAAATATTGGCAGCATTTAAGAGATGGAGTATACGAGAATTTTGTATCTTTTCCGAGAGAGAGAGAGATGTGGTGAAGCAGGTAAGTTGCCGGAACATCACACAAGTCAAGGTCAATCAGTTGAATGATAAAGGCCTCTTTACTTGTTTCCAGACATTTTTCAGTTTGTTACATGACTAAAAGACATGCAGAAGTGTGCTCACTCTGTTTAAAAAAACCTTGCAACCTTGCACTTAGCTATGACACCTCCTGAAAAATATCTAAAGAGCAGGAAATAGTTACAAAAAATATTTTTTTAAGGCTTGCTGTGTGATTTAGAACACATACATAATATATTTTATATATACTAGGAGCATCAGAACCCCTGACCACTGTCTGTACAGTGCTGATTGGCCCTGTGCTGATCACACACACTCTCCCAAGAAAAAAAAAAACCTCTCTATCAATAGACACCAAACTGAGCATGTGCAGCTTGCCCCAAGGCTCTCTTCTATCAGGAGACATATTGGGGACAATAGAAGAAGAGGAAGATCAGGGAAGAGAGGATCAAACATCCCTTTTTACACAGTGCAGAAGATTAACCTCTTAGGTTCCACAGCGAGTATAACAAGCATGCTTTACTGCATATAAAGACTGATTTAACTGGTGTGGGTTTAGTAGCCCTTTAGGCATTATTTATGGATGTGAATGCATGCATTAGACCAGGCTCAAATCTTGTTTAGTACATATGCTGAAAAAATGAAGCATCTTACCCGTTAAGCACATCATGCTTATATTGTTGCTGAATTGTTATCCATTTAAATTATAGTTGACAAAATAGATAGATAGATAGATAGATAGATAGATAGATAGATAGAAAGATAGTTGGGAAATGATACTGTATATACTTATAATACTCTACCACCTGTTATGCATACTAATGTAAGCCAGAGGTCCTGAGATAAGTAACATATGACCTGACTACAGGATGTTTTAGAGTCCCAGGAGATCTTGTTAAACCATCGATCTCTAAAATACTTAGATCTGCTTGGCACTAAAGGGCTTGGACATGCATGTTCCCTTTAGTGTCATTTGAATTTAGAAACAGAAACCAATACTACTGACAAAGAGCAATTAAGTAAAGACTTTTTTTTATTCTGTTCCTCAGCCCTCTAGAAAAATCTCTGAAAGCAAAGGTCACTACATGAGTCATCATCAGGAACACAGCCTGGAGATGCTAATTGTACATCCACAAAGTGGGAGTTTTGACCTAGGACAAGTCTATATGTTTATTTGGACAAAATCCTCAGAAATATATAACTTTAGCACAAATAAATGGAAAAAGCCCCTATATCATCAAGACTAGATGTTTATTAAACAAACAAGCTCAATAATATTTAATAGATAATTAAATAAAAATGTAGTCTTTGCAGATATTGTTAATGTTAAAGAATCTCAGTAGGGAGCAGATGCTAAGTATAATATGTACTTGATATACCATATACTGTACTATAGATTATAAACCAAAACAGTACTGTAGATCTAGAGAATGTAGTCTAATGGATGTCTATATACACAGCCATGGATGGACAAGGAATTTGATTTTGTCTATCTGATAAAATGTAATTGGAGCTGAAAAAAGTCATGGTTTTCTTCTAGACAAAGAAAAGCAGTGGTGTTTCGCAACGAACAGATCTATTTGTTTTGGCTTCAGATTTTATAAACTGGTCCCAAATTTTCCATTTGTAAAACTATTGTGAAGTACCTGATGTCATATTACAGTGCCATTATTTTTGGTTGCAGCTGCCAATCAATCGTGGGATTACATCTGGATGTATTTCTAGATTTAAGATTGCTTTACCAAAAGTATGCATTCGGATATACAGTACATGGATAACCAAATATCAGCACATGGCTGCATCTCTATTTCCATAAAATGCACCTAGACTTGGAACCTCCATTCACACATATGAATAGGGGTTTTATTCAGGGGCGGACTGACAACTCATGGGGCCCCCGGGCAATAGAGGATCATAGGGCCCCTGTGTCCTTGCCCAAACTCAAAAAAGCCTATGAAAAAGGTACCAGGGGCAACTCATGGGGCCCCCTACTGACTCCGGGCCCTCGGGCAGTACCCGAGTTTCCAAATGGTCAGTCCGCCCCTGGTTTTATTACAACAAAAGTGGATGCTTGCAAATAACAGATGCATGGAAAGTCAACATCTATGAGCTTGTATACACAAAGCCTTGTGAATTTACAATAATTTAAAAAACCAAAGAATATTTGTATCAAATAGGACTACACAACCATGATATACAGTACATATATATATTTATAAATATATTTACATATATACAGGGCTTGGACGAAATTACAGAAACACCAGGTAAAAGAACAAAATCATTACTGTGTGAATGGAGGTTCCAAGTCTAGGTGCATTTTATGGAAACAGAGATGCAGCCATTTCCATTTTATGGAAATAGAGATGCAGCCTTTCGCATCCAAGATGGCCTGAATTCTCCTGGAAATTGACAAATGTAAATTTTGGATGGTGGATAATGGAAACTGATACCACTCTTCATGCCGGAGCCAGAAAACGAGCCCGAAACCTTGTTCTTCAAAATGAACCATAGTGGCTCCATAATATTGAGGTCCGGTGACTGTGGCACTTAGGGAAGGTGCGACATTTCATCTGCATGCTTGTAAAAACATGATTTGACAACACCAGCTGTGTGAATCAGAGCATTATCACCTTGGTAAATGGTGCTGTCTTCGGGAAATAATGTGTGCACCATGGGGTGCACATGGTCGACCAAAATTTGTATATAGTCACTGGAAGTGACTTTACCCATCAAAGTGATGATGGGGCCTACAGAATACCAAGATATGGCTGCCCAAACCATGATTGTGCCACCACCATGCTTTACTGTTGGCACAAGACATGTCTGGTCATAAGCTTGGAATGAAGCTTGCCACACATAAACAAATACGGTGGTTGGGAACAGTGTGAAGCTTGATTCATCAGACCATGTTTCAGTGTTCTATTGATCAATAGTCGACGATTTATGGGTGTTGTACCACTCTCTCCTCTTCTGAGCGTTAATTTTGATAACTAGTGGTTTGGCAATTGCAGCTCACCCGTTAATGCTTTGCTTATGAAGTTCCCTGTGCACAGTTTTCGTGGACACGGGCTTTAGAAGACTGAGCTCCACAGTCACTTTTGCAGCAGTTGTTTTCTTATTCTGGATTACAATCCTGCAAAATGTCCTTTTGTCTCAGTTTGTCAGCTGACCATGTCAACCGTGCTTATGCTAATCAGATGACATTTTCCCAGAAACTGTGTATGCCATCATAACCTTTGATACTGTACTCAGTGACACAGCAAATAAATTGGCACCTTCAGTCACTGAGGCACCAGCTAAGCGGGCGCCAACATTTTGCCCTTGTTGAAACTCAGTAAGCTCTGACATGACTCCGTATTACTAACAGAGCATGCAGCGAATGACAAAAGTGAGGATTCTCATGTTAGCTAGGTGTCTCATCACACAGCTGAAGCAAAAGAATCTTACATCACTTCCGCTTACAATGCAAAACATGTCATCACTTTCACACCTGCAAATCATGTATGTTCAACCCCTATATATATATATATATATATATATATATATAAACAGTGTTTATATACGGTATATATATATAATTTATTTTTTTAATTTTTTTTTTTTTTTTTTTTTAAACATGCTGGAGTTGATTTACTAAAATTGGAGAGTGAAAATCTGATGCAGGTTCTAGGTTTTTTTTGTCACAATTTAACAGAGCAAGCTGATATTAGAAGCTGATACGCTACTATACACAGCTGTGCCAGGTTTTGCACTCTCCTGGTTTAGTAAATCAACCCCAATGTATTCTTTTGTGTGTAAATCGTCTTCTACTCTGGTATGTTTTGCACCTAGAAAAATGCTCTACCCCTCACAGCAACTAAGAAAAACAAGTACCACGCCTCACCCAACTAAAGTTGCTTTATGACAGAAGAGACTATATGTTCCTGCCTATCAGCGCTTTTTTTTTTGGAAGTGTGCATCGAGCTGTTTACGTACAGCTCAGTACACAGACTCAGCACGATTTGATGCAAGGAAGAAATAACGTTGGTGAGCATGCACAGGGGTTACATCATCTGGGCCGAACCAATTAAGAGCCCAAAGATTCAGAATCTGGAAGAAGCCAAAAGAAGATGGAAGTGCTGAATTTGCAGCCCTAGAGGGGATTGCTTTGCTAAGTAGGTCTGCCATAATGTGCTCATATGCAGTGCATAATGCAGTATAGCACAATATGGGAAAAAGCTCCTAGGGACCCAACATTTTACATTCGATCTGGCGATTTAGTTTCACTTTAATTGTCTTTTGACCCACGACAGTTACAGGAACAAAGTACCCTGCAATACTTCATTCATGCAAAGATTCACAACAAATTAAGCTACACATACAAGAACATGATAAATTAATTGTTATGTGATATAGTTGATTCAGAGGTCACATCATGACAAAGCACCACCCGTTTCCATGAGACCCCACCACCTTCCCCATGTACCTAGTAGAGTAGGCTACATCTCTACTTCACACCATTAAATAAAAGATTAGAAATTGTTACTGCCTACAAGAATGACAGTTCATATATGACAGAAACGGTTCTGATTAGGTAAGCTCTCCTCATGTGGAACAGTGTTTGTAATTGTTGGGTTCTAGGTTTGAATAGCAACCTCTCATACCTTTTAAGGAATTAAATTATATTTTTTTAACAACTATCCATTTTAAAACATTATCCTATTAGAATGAATTCTTTATTAGAATAAGGATATTTTTCTTTTAAAAAATTAGGTGAAGGCGCTATTGTAGATTACCAATGGCAGAGTATGCGTATATATAAATTGATGTTTTCCTTTTAGAAGAATAAAAATCTTTGGAACAACATATTATTTGGACCATTGATGAAAGAGTAGATACATGAAATTGTCTGATTAGACTTTTATGCGCTTTAATGTGAAATAAGACACAAGTGCTTTCTTTGGAAATCATTAACAACTGAAAACAAGTAAATGAATTCTAGGAACATTTTTAGCCTAATTGTGAACAAATGAGCACAGTAGTACAAACACCACCTTCTGTGTTTTTCCATCATCAGAAAGATGACATCTTAACTAATTAAATTACCGAATGTTATGATGCAGATAATGTATGTGCAGTTTGTTCACATGTTAATAGACTTCAAGACTTTCAATAAAATGTACTGCTTAAAGCAAGGACAAATTCATTCATACAAGCTTGAGCTATTACAAAATTTACACAATGTACAATATATTTATTATATAAGTTCAGGGGTGTATTTACCACAAGGCAAACAAGGCACCTGCCTAGGGTGGCATTTTTCAGGAGGGCAGCACCTCCCGCCAGAAGAAAGGATGGAAGAAGGGACAGGCGTGCCATGGGAACCAGGTAGGATGGGAGAGAGGCTGCGGGCTACTTGATGATGTATGTATAGTCTTACTCTTATTCCAGCTGTATGCAGACCCCCTATGAGTGCGTGCCATTGCACGAAACACGCCAGGAAGGGGCTACAGCACTAGGACGCCATGCTGCCGACACCACACTGGTCCTGGCAGCCATCTTGGATCACCATTACTGGTCAGTGTTTTTTGTTTATCTACTTGGTTAATAAAGTGCCCTCTGTTCAAACTGTATCACGCTATTAGCCTCCTCTTTTCTGAGCTCTCCGAGAGCTCTTACCATCCACAGAGGAGGCAAGCTATCCATGGGCAGTAGATGTCGACATAAGAGGGATACCAGACCTGACCAGACCTTTAAAGGGGACACCCTGGTTCTTTGAGATTGATATCTCTAAATGCGCAGTGTGGTTGCGCATCTGGTGAGTGCGCAGTCTTTACACTTTTTCTTTATCACCAATCCTTGGGACCAGCAATTTGGATCCGGAAGACCTCTAGGCACCTTAATACTTGGACTTAACCTGACACCTGTGCACATGGCGAGCCACTGACTAGTGACGCATTACACCTATTTATTGTATATGCATTTGCACTATGTCACTTTATCACTTATTCTGGGACTGTCATCATTATTATTGATATACGGATACTTTTAACGTCATATCTATAAGTGGATATATGATATATGGTTTTATTTTCTTTTATTTTCATTTATTTTACCACGATAATTTTTTACTAGTATCTAGCATTATCATTTTGAGCGCTACACCCTGCTGTCTTATTGTCTATTTTGGTACCTTTGGTGTTTAGCAGCTTACAGACTTTTAGCGCTCACTTACCACTCTTTAGAATAGGAAAGTCACGTTGCAAAGGAAGTTGCACCTTACAATGGAATTACCCCCAGAGTTTAGATAATTCGTTGAAGTTTCACTTTGCAAAGATAACCCAATATTGTGCAAAGAAAATATAAAACATGCATTTTTGCTTGCACATAATTGGATTATGAAAGTCAGCAGAGTTTCACTTCATTCACTAAGCTTTGGGGCCAATTCCCTTGAAAAGTACATTTTCCTTTGAAAATTTAACAGTTTATTTGCCTTTAGTAAATCATCCCTTACATTTTTGTGAAGCCTCCAGGCTAGAAGAGCTGATACCAAAGGAGGAGTCTTGCAGATCTGATTGTTGCTAGTCACAGCTATCTCTTGCTTTCATTGCACAGCAAGCAGCATTATAGCCTCCCCATCTGGGAGTAGATTTATTGCCTTTAGTGCTTCTGGTCCTTTCAGACAGCACTCTGAAATCAACACTATATGTCTACCAGTCAGGAAGCCTACCAGTCTGTAAAAAAAAGCCCAGCTTGTCTCCTTAGCTACATGCTGACAAGACAGATGAGGGTTTGTGGTTCTGCACAAAAAAAGCCACAATTTTAAAAAGTTTGCATTATTGCGGGTGATTTACTAAAGGATAATAAGTTCATCACTTTGCAAATGTAGTGTTGCCCTGTATGAGAAGTGGAATGAAATGGGTCCTCTGTTCTATGCCTCAACCTTCTCAAGAACCTCAGCCCATCTGATACACCTGTTTGAGTGTAGAAACATAAAATATCACAGGGAATTGCTGAAAGTGATACAGGCACGGCACAAAACTAGGTAGTAAGGGCACACTTAA